AACTAGAAAGTTGGACCATATCAGTCCAACTCTACATTGTTTGCCAGCTAAATTCAGCACTGAGTACAAAATCCTTCTACTGACACATAAAGCTTTAAACGCCTCTCTAACCGCTCAGTACCTGAGTGAATTTATCTCTTATTATGAACCATCACGCCTACTTAGATCACAAGGTGCTGCTCACTATTAGTACCTAGAATTAATAAAGTTACATTGGGGGGGGGGGATTCTCATACACTGACTGAATCTTCCAGTCAGTGTTTGGGACTCAGACACAGCCTAAGTCTTTAAGTCTAGGCTAAAAACCTACCTGTTTAGTCAAGCTTTTGGTAATTAGTTTTCCCTGTCAGATAAAAGGTGCAGATCTGGGGGTTCATGGTCATAGAGTATTATGGTAAACTGGGAGTGTTGGTGCTGTTATCCTGCTGCTCTCACACGTTCACTCAGCTTTTCATCTCAGGAAGTCCTCATGTCTGTTACCTTCTGGCTCTCCCATTTAGTCCGGCTGTAATATCTCAAACTGCCGGAGTCTCTGCTACTCTGTAAGCATTGTCTACTGTTCTCAGCCACTCCTAACTGCCTGTGTGTTTCTTGAACAGTGGCCCATCCAGTGGATCTGATGCTGTTTGCCAGCCTTTGGCCACTCAGAAGCTTCCTGCTGTACAACGCTGTGCAAACCTCACCTGCATGAACTGACCCTCCTGATGCTCAAGGAGGACTCAAACTATTTAATCAGAGCTGTTGCTTCACCTGCTTTTCCCCTTTTCTGTACTTTAATATTTTATACTAATGGTATATTATTTTCTGTTCATATTGCTCTTGCGTTATTGTTTTGCTATCTGGTGTCAACCAGAGGTTCCTCTCGAGGTTTCTTCCTCTTGCTCTTAGGGAGTTTTTCCTTGCCGCTGTCACCATTGGCGACGCTCATGGGAGCTCAGACCTGGATTCTTTTTGTAAAACTGCTTTGTGACAACACCTGTTGTAAAAAGTGATATATAAATGAAATTTGACTTGACTTGACATACTATCTTTACTAGTGCTGTCTCTGTAATATAATGAGGTCTAAACCCTCACCAACATTTTTCATGTATGTGATACTTATGCAAGTATGAATTTTGCTGTTGAGCCACAGCCTTTACCAAATTCTTAGATAAAAAGGGAATATTTGAGAGAGTTCTATAATTTGATAGCTCATAGGCATTAAAATTTCTTGATAAAAGTCTAAATTACCATGGCATTAACTTTCACTGTTGCGCAGACAATGCGCAATTATACATATCAGCCAAGCCTGATGACAAATACAGGTTAAAGAAACTAGAGGACTGTGTAAAAGATGTGAAAGGTTGGATGTTGCGTAACTTCCTCCTTCTAAACAGTAACAAAACAGAGGTTCTCCTTCTGGGTCCAAAAGTGGCAAGAAATAAATTATCTGATTTAACTTTGAATCTTGCTGACTTTTCAGTTATACCTGGTTCAGCAGCAAAAAATCTTGGTGTAATACTCGATCCAGATTTATCATTCGATCAACACATAGGCAGCATCACTAGGACAGCTTTTGTACATCTTCGCAACATCGCCAGAATAAGAAATGCCTTATCTCTGCATGATGCAGAAACATTAGTACATGCCTTTATTACTTCAAGGCTAGACTATTGTAACGCACTACTATCAGGATGCACCAGCAGGAATTTAAATAAACTTCAACTAGTTCAAAATGCTGCAGCCAGGGTTCTCACTAAAACTAGAACATTTGATCATATCAGTCCAGTTCTATCATCACTCCATTGGCTGCCTGTTAAATTCCGTATTGATTACAAAATTCTTTTATTGACGTATAAAGCCCTACGTGGGCTCCTGAGTACCTGCAAGACCTTATTTCCCATTACGAGCCACCACGATTACTCAGATCACAGAGTGCTGGCTTTTTAATAGTTCCCAGAATTCAGAAGGTTTCATCTGGGGGAAGAGCCTTTTCTTATAAAGCCCCCAAACTCTGGAATGATCTTCCAGAAAATGATCGGGACTCAGACTCAGTCGCAATATTCAAATCTAGGCTGAAAACTCACTTGTTTAGTTTAGCTTTTGGTAGTTAATGTTTCCCCTTAGATAAAGGCAGCAGATCCAGGGGTCCATGGACACAGGGAATTATAATAAACTGAGACTGGTGCTGTCGTCCCGCCGCTCGCACGCGATCACTCAGGTTTGTGGACGGTGGAGCGGAGGGATGCCAGATTGTCTCAGGGTGCTCCCGTGTCTGTGTGCCCTTTTGGTTCTCTCCTTTTAGTTAAGCTGTTATAGTCAGATCTGCCGGAGTCGTTAGCCACACTCTGGAAATGTTTTACATATTATTATACATACAGCCATACAGAACAAAACTAATTCCATCTCCCTACCTTTTCCCGAGAAAACAACTGCCCACATGTCCGGCCGGACACTGCTGGATGATTGTTTGTAGAGCTCTCCGGCTACCCGCTTCAGACCAGTTGCCCACACCCCAGTCACCGCCACCTGCCTTGGACTGGCTGCCCACTCTACACTGAAGTGGACTCCTAACTATTACTACCTCCTAACTATTACTACTACTACTACTATTAATATTAGTCATATAATAATTTTGTACGTAGTTTGACCAGAGGAGGATGGGTCCCCCCATGTGAGCCTTGGTTCCTCCCAAGGTTTCTTCCTCAGCTCTGAGGGAGTTTTTCCTGGCCACTGTCGCCCCTGGCTTGCTCACCTGGAGGATTTACATTTCATGTTAAAACTTTGTCCTTAATGGATTTCTGTGAAGCTGCTTTGTGACAACATCAGTTGTAAAAAGTGCTATACAAATAAATTTGACTTGACTGACTTGACTAAATTACTGCTAATTAAAGGTTTTTTTTTCATATATAGCCAAAACAACAAAACAAACAAGAGTTTTTTATTGATAAAAGAGGTTTTATCAATTCTGGTCAAATTTCTTCACGGCTGCAGGAATTGGACTATGCAAGTAAAAGACTTGAGGACAAATTGTAATTAGCTCTGTCTGTTGAAGTGGATTAACTTCTTAAATAGCCAGGTCCCAAAGTTTTATTATACACTTCTATAACCTAACAATTGCTCAGCCAGTTTGCTTATTACTGAATAATAAGCCTTAAATATTAAGCCTGGGATTTTAAGGGGTTAAATGATTTCAATCTCTTCTTTAGTTTCACTTTATGCTGTATTTGTATGGGTTGTGTTTTTTTTTGTTTTTGATTTCATACATTCATATGAATCAGGGTATTACACACTAAACTGATAATGTTTCTCATATGTGTTGAATGCCAAACGTCGGACAGTCTTTACTGGGGTAGGGTTGGGGATTGGGGGGTATGTCAGATGTGTTTGACAGATTAAAATTGAAAAATGACCTACCAGATCTTAAATCTGCCTTGGTTACACTTTGGCCTGTTTATTAGTACCATGCTGTATTGGGGCTATATGTGAACTACCCTACATGAACAGTGTCAACTTTAACTTCATTAAATCAAAGTTCTAATCTTAGGTTAAGATTTCATAAAAATTCAAAAGTCTTCATTCATTTCTTTATTCAGAATTATTAGATAACAAAATAGCACAAAAACCTTGAAAGGACTTTTCAATAGTGCAAAAGTAGTCACAGACTCAAACAGTAAATTATAAACAACAGATGACTGGCTCACTTAACAAGGTCTCCCTTTTCTTTAAGTGCTCTGAAAAATAAAACCAAGAAATCAAGTGTATAGCAGATAGAAACCGATGATACACCAACAAACACACTGGCACCATCTTGGATACCCATCTTGGAAGTAGCATGACAGCAGCAAGATAGAGGGATGATCTCTTTCTCTGGCTGAAATTTCAGTGAGCTGGCTTCTTAGATAGCAGGGTGACATTGATTCATTGTTGATTTTCCAATCAGACTGATTGTTTTGGGTGAAGCTGAATTTTCAATGTCAACTTTAATTTATCAGTGAAAGTCAGCAGCTCCTAACATTGGCCGTAATCACATTGAACAATGATTTACAGTAGACTGCGAGATGATGTGATAGACATGCCAATGTGAACTCTCTTGCAAGTTAATAGCATTTTTTTTCTTTTTCAGCTGAGATCAATCTCCAGACTTAAATAATTTCCTACCCCATCTAATATAAAAATAATTATTCATGCTTTTGATGCAATCTGATTGGATTATTGTAATGCAGTGTATGTTGTGACGTCTCTTGCTTGTTTACAACTGGTTCAAAATGCTGCAGTATGATTATTAATTGATATAAAGAAAAGAGTTCTGAATACTCCAGTTTAAGGGTCTCTTACACTGGCTCCCAGCTCATTACAGAATCCAATAAAAAGTGTCTTTGATCATTTCTAATGCATTACATGGCCTTGCACCTAAATATATCGTGGACATGCTCTGTCTATATGCTCCTTCAAGATCATTGAGAGAGTCTGTTTGACTGTTCCACGGTTTCTGCCTAAAATAATAGTAGATTGTAAAGTCTTGCTGTGTCAAGACTTTGGAATGGTATACCAACTGATATCAGACAGAAATTGACTGTTTTTAAATTCAAGCTCAAAACACATTTCCATCAATTGGCTTTTATTAACTATTCAATGTTTTTTTTTTTGCTGGTTGAGTACTGGACTACAGATTCTACAGCCTTCACAGAGACACATGAACACTTTACTGAAGTTTTATTCAAAACAGTAAAATACACGCTCACAAAAAATAACTTGTCAGTTAAGAGAAACTTTGTCTATTGGATCAATATGCAATCATAGCAGAAAAAAAACCTTATGCTACTTCAGAAAGGAAATATATAAGTGATACTAAAAGCAGGATTAAAGAGGTCAGATTTACCCCATGACTATTCTTTGATAATTTTTGGTATAATCATACTCCGCCTAGTTTTGTAGTGCTAGTACACATATTTACGACCTGAGCAATATGGCCTCAGCATCACGTTGAAGCAGATATGAATATTGACATTTGTATTTGTTAAGGATTCTTAGAGATAAACAGCTTCCATAGACTCCAATTTATAGTGGTCTGTTACATCAGCCCAAGGACCTGCAAGAATTCAGAGAAACATGGAATGCATAGGTTTTTTAACAGTAATAACACTTTGGCAAGAGTACCTGAACCAACAGTAGTTAAGGCATTTACAAAATAACAATTAATCAGAAACCAATAAGGCACTAAGCAGATCAAATTAATGAGTAGTATATCAACAAACATACAGTTAAATTACTCAGCATTAACTAATGCATCTATTAATGTATGAAGATGAAGGCTTTCTTCAGTGTGTGATTTTTTCAGAAATTGACAATAAGCATACAAAAAAGCAAGAAAGCACAAATGTAAACTGTGTTTATTTAGATTTTTTTACCCCGAAAGAGGTAATTTAATTTTAATTGAGCAGGTTTACAGCCATGTCGTGCAGCATCCAAATATTCAAAACAATTGTTTTTAACAAAATTGCACAACCACCACCGTTTGGTGTTGATGCATGCTGACACTCAATGACTTCCTTAACTGCTTTCTATTTCTCTCCACAGTTAAATTAAACCCAGACTGCGTCCACAAAAAGCCATAGTAAGTGACGTGGCTTGGAATTAAGTACACAAAGAAAGGCAGTAATTTTAAAGTCTTTAAAATAAACAGACAACTGCTAATGTTTACCTCATATGTATTGTTAACATAGTTTTTTGTCTTTTAACTCAAAAGCAGTGATTTTGTGATAAATCCATTTAAAGATAATGAATGTTTTATTCCATTCAGTTTATACAAGTACAAACTATAGCAACTGTCCCAAATGAGGACTGCAGGTTGAAGGTTGTAAGCCTGACTTGTTTTGTTTTATTGATTAAACACAGAGCCTGAAGAAACAGACATCGTAACTCTGGAAAACAAGAACAAACACAAGACCTGGGGGGGGGGGACTTGCGTAACAACAACATGCGTAAAGCTTTCATGACCATTATCTTTGCAGTAGTTAACACTGAGTAATTTAATATAATGGTTGTGGATATATGATACTCTTTTGTTCCTGCTTTATGAGTAATTACTTTTTTTATTATTCCTTAGTAGATGTCTTAATTACTGTCAGTTCATGTACTGTTACTATATAGTGTTACCAAAAATGAGTTCATACATTAAAAACAAAAAAAGGATAAAAACTATATGGCTTACCAGAACTTAAGTTGCCACCGGCAACTTCCCTGTAAAAACACATGAATAATTGTATGGTAAATCACATAAATATATGAATATACTAGACAAACCAAAAATAATTAAACCCTCTGTTCTTTCCACTGACCTGGAGATTTCCTCTTGTAGTAGACGAATCCACCAACTGCCATGACAATCCCCAGCACCACCCCTGCAGCACCAGCAGCAATCTTGCCCTTTTCGGAATCAGGAAGAGACGGATCTGTGGGACATTAAGAGTTCATCATTTTTTCTTTATAATGTAGAGTTTCCAAAAAAAAAAATATATTAATATTATCCTCATTAAAACATGTTATCAAGAACACAGACTCATCTTCACAACTCTGTGATTATTAAATACTGAGTCTTGCTGACACATCATTTGAAATTTGATTACACTATTTACACTTGTATTTTATGTCTCATATTAGGATGAACAGAACAGATTTATCTTGACAGACAGAAATTTGATAAGCGTCAGTGCTTTCCCATGCAAATCCAAGAAATCTCCTGAGATGATGATGTGCCAGAAATTTTATCATAGACCTTCAAAAATAAAGCTTCTTGAATGATTCTTGGCTTAAATGTACAGTTCTAACAAGAACTTTAAACATGCTATAGAACCTTTACATTATGTGGAGATCTTTTACCCTTCGAAGAAATTTTTCACACATCTCATTTGTTCAAATGCTTCTTTGAAAAACCACCCATTGAAAGGTTCTTTAGGGATCAAATGTGATCCTTCTATGCAGGCTTGGATCATTCAGTGGGTTGTATGGCATGTACCCAGGGGCCCAAGCAAGTAGAGAGCCCCTGCAAGCGATTATGAGAAAATATAAACAGGTGCTTTAACTTGCGGTGGCATCTTTTGTAGTGGGACAGTGAAAAAGATAACTAATTTATCAGTGTATTACAGCCAATCATAATCCTGATGCTCTCCACAGCTTCCCAGGATGCCCATTTCCTTATGTAAATATAAAATGTCAGCCACCTGAGTTAAAAAAAAATGTTGTGCAAACTGTCACCAGAGATAAGGTATGAATAAATGAAAAAGTTCAATTGTAATTTGTTGTCTTCATTGGAGTCAATGTGTTGTGTGGGAAGAGTGGACGCATGCCACAATTATTCATAAGGACATGTCTCATTGTTTGTTGAGTTTATGTAAACCTGTGTTTTCAGTAATGTGTGTGTAATCTTTCTGTTGTTGTGTCTCAAACGAAAATAAATCACTGCATTTACAGCAGTGATGTGCCCAAAACTGTAGTTTGCATGCTGGCATCGTGGTGTTATATGGAACTTGTGTAACAAGCTGCGATATCATAAAAATTCACTGCCTGTCCAAAAAATTTAGCCACGTGGGGGCCCTCCAAGCATTTGTGCCCAGGGACCAATAACTTGATGATCCTGGCCTGCTTCTATATCACCACTCCAAAGAAACCTTTGTGGCACTTTTATTTTTAAGAGCACATGCAGTTATGAATTTTGTAGGAACTAAGGGTTTGGCTCTGTTCTGTACAGTTTGTGAATATTTTTCACTAACGACATAGTTGTGCTTAGTCATCTGCATCATGTGCCCCAAACCTCCTCCTGACATGTCTGAGCCACTGAGCGGCTGCATTTACACTGGCCTTTTTTACAACCCACAATTACAATCCAATCAGCTCAAGACTCCTGAACTGGCTCGGTGTAAACAGGCAGTAAGGTCTGCAATAATCTGACTCAATATTCTCACCCCAGTCGGTGATGATGGGTTCCATGGAGCTGGCGTGGTCCACCACACAGGAGATCTTCTCTCCAGATTTGGGCTTGTACTCCAGGTGGGAGTGGACCTGGTATGTCCAGTCTCCATTAGCCATCTCCTCAATGAAAATGGAATCAGTGGTCACCTTTTTATTGTTTTTTAACCAGTAAATATTGATGTCTCGGGGGTAGAAGTTGTACGCGCTGCACATCAGTATGGCTGAACGACCAGCAACTGCTTCCTGTTCTGACCTGAGATGGATCTCCGGCAGCACTGCGGACAGTAGAGATATTATTAGGGCATTCATAAAATAGCTTTGAAAAAAAAAGTCATTCTATTACTGATTTAGTATTGATAATGTAAATTATAATACTGTGAGATAATAAGGACTAAATATTTCTATAAAAAGAGACATTCACACAGAAATATCAACAATCACAAACATTTTTTGCATGCTGCAAAACTGCAAGCTTTTTACCCATTATTCTTTTTCTTGTGAAAAAAATTCACATCACAATTATGATGTAAAACACACTGTAAGACTTTATACTGAGGGTGGCAAATTAAAGGTTATGTCATAAATAAGTCACTAATTATTCACTATTATACAGTCATATGAAAAAATTAGGACAATCCATTAAATATTCAGTTCTTTATTAAGAAATGTTCGCATATCGATGTCCAATCTTGTTTTTATTTATCTCTGGAAAAGAAAGGGATTTAATTGCAGGTAAACAACAAAAAGTAACCTTGTTTTACTCATTGAACAAAAAATATTAACAAAAATGCGTATTCTAACTGAGGAAAAAGTTAGGACACTCTACCCCCTTATAGCTAGTGTTACCCCCTTTGGCTGAAACTTCAGTGAGATGCTTCTTGTAGCCATCTACCAGTCTCTAACATCAGCCTGAGGAAAGTTTGCCCCACTTCTCAACACAGAATTCTTGCAGCTGTGAGATGTTTGAGTGGTTTCTTGCAGGTACAGCCCGTTTCAAGTCACCCCACAGCATCTCAAGGTAATTAAGATCTGGGCTTTGACTCAGTCATTCCAGGACTCTCCATTTCTTAGTTTTCAGCCAGTCCTTGGTGGATTTACTGGTATGTTTTGAGTTGTTGTCATGTTGCAGGGTCCAGTTCTGCTTCATTTTTTTTGGTCTCACATGTTCCTCAAGCTCCCTCTGATACACGGTAGAATTCATGGTGGATTCTATGATGGTGAGCTGGCCAGGTCCTGCTGCGGCAAAGCATCCCCAAACCATGACACTTCCACCTCCATGTTTCACAGTTGGTATGAGGGTCTTTTCCTGGAATGCTGTATTTGGTTTACACCAAACATACCTTCTGTTATGGTGTCCTGGTTTTTGGTCCTGGTTTTTGTCTGCATTCTCTCTGGCAAACTTCAGTCTGGTCTTTGTGTTTCTCTTAGAGAGCGAAGGTTTCCTCCTTGCACACCTCCCATGAAAGTTAAACTTGTGCAGTCTCTTTCTGAGTGTAGAGGCATGCAGTTTCACATCAACAGTAGCACGAGCCTGCTGTAGGTCCCGTGATGACATGTTTTTTTGAGACTTCTTTTAGTGTCTTGCGGTCTGCTCTTGGGTGAACTTGCTTGGACGGCCAGATCTGGGCATGTTGGCAGTTGTTTTGAATGTCCTTTTTCTGGACAGTGGAATGGCTGATTTCTTCTTTTGAGATCTTTTTAAATCCCTTACTAGACTCATAAGCTGCTACAATTTTCTTTCTGATGGCCTCAGACAGCTCTTTCAATCTCACCATGGTGTTCACTCTCACGTCAACAGTCAGGAGCACAGCAAACTAAATGTCTGAGGTTTAAACAAGGCAAGCCTCCTTCAAAATGCTGAATAACGATGTTCTAATCATGTGCACCTAATCTGATACAGCAGTGTGTGATTTTAGCCATTTTAAGTGGGGATAAATATGGTGGTGACCTAATTTATTCCTCACTAGAAATTGCATTTTTTTTTTAAATTACACTTTACAGAAAGTTTTAAAGTATTTTCTTCAGTTGTAATTGTTTAGTTATATTACTTGAACTTATTTTATTTCTACATGTCCAAATATGTTAAAAACACACACAGGTTTTCATAGAGTGTCCTAATTTTTTCACATGACTGTATATTTATTATTTAACTGTTCATAAAGTATTAGTTATTACTTTATATCTGATTAAATATGGTTATCACTTTGTAACTAATCAAGGACAGTAATTTATAACTGAGTACATTATCTGTTTAATTTATTATTAATTCATAGCTTATTTACTCATTAACTGTGTGCTAACTACTGCTTATTACACTGTCAATGAACTGTATTTACTCATATAAAGAAGAAACGAGCACTGACTAATATGTAAACACTGTTAATTTTATGTTATTTGAGGTGCTGATTTATTGTTACACTTTTCCTCCACTCTGCTTTGTTGTAAAAAAAAACAGCCCTTGGGCTTTAGCAGCTAGTTTTCTTCACCTCCAAATATTCTGCTGTCTCACTATGTACAGAGCAGTCTTTACATTTTCACTATTAATCACTCCTAGCTTCATATTACTTAATCTTTCATAGCTAATGTGTATATCCCTCCACAAGTGCTAATTACACTATCAAGTCATGATAAAGAGTATACGTTTTTCACTGTGAATCACTGTAGTAAATTTGTTGACCCTTCCAGTGGAGGGCATACTCAAAACGATTGTGCACTGGAAATATACACTTTTATTCAAAATTTTGGGCACCCCTCACAAAATTAGACATTTTGCTGATTTTTTTTAAGGGAAATAAGGGGCAATTTAGCATGACTGCATGTCTTTGCACTGTGGGAGGAAACCAGAGTACCTGGAGGAAACCCACGTGGACATCACACGTAAAATTAACCTTTAAATAAATGAAAATAAAAAAACATTAAACAAGATAGGTAGGCTACTCAAGTCACACTGTGAAGCCCCCCGGAAGAGGAACCATGCATACATTTATTATGCATGTGTGCTATTATTATGAGTAATTATGCTATGAGTGACTGCTGGTTTGATCAGATTGGCTGGTTTGAGTGGATTAATCTTGTGAGGTGTGAGTTGCCAGCATGAGAGCGCACCTAGGATAATCTGCCTGACATAGAGATAGGCCCTGTCCCAAAGGTGCCCTAAGTCAAAGCCCACACTTTGGTGATGCCAACAATGTGCGGACACAGAAGGCAGAGAGTTGAGAGTGCTAGGTATAAAAGCATGCATTTGGGGCATGCAAGTGTGCAGGACAGGCTATATAGGTTCTGTGTCTATGTTTACGGGTTTTTTTAATCACTAATAGTTCATATTACTTCCTACGTTGTGTTCTTAATTTGCTTCAGGAGTAAAACACATACATTTAACGTTGCCCCTTCAAGTAGCAGTAACACTTTATAATAAGGATTGCAAATTAATTGATCATTATATGCCAATAAGTATTTATATATTCATTACTCAAATAATTAACTGCTCATTAAGCATTAGTTACTGATTAATTACTTAGTAATTGAATACACTGTTAACTGATAGTTTAGTTTGTCATCAGTTCACAGCTTATTGATTAACTGTGTACTAACTGCTGCTTATTACACTGATAATGAACTGATGAACTGAAGTGTGTTTACTCATATATATAAATAACATCCCTTAAATTATCTGTTAATTAATCTACTGATCATTATGCTTTCCTCCACTGTACAGTCTTGTATGGAACACAGTTCTTGGGCTCTACTGGACACTTTCCTTCTCCTCCACATATTCAGCTGCTTCTCTATCCTCAGAGCTGCCAAGCTGTCATTACATTTTCATCCTTAAGAGGTGTAAGTAACAAATTACATTTACTCTCGTTACTGTAATTGAGTACAGTGTTTGAGTAGAATTAAATCATAGTATTTTTACTCTTACTTTAGTTAATTTTTACTGAAATATGTTTTTTTGCTCCTTTTATTTTTAATAACGTTACAGAGTAAAAATAAATTATGAGCATATCTGCTCTTAAACCAATAATAACAAAAGTGTGGTTAAATTCAAAAGATTCACCAACCAAAAAACAGCAGCTCTGGCAGGAAAAACACTACAGAGAGGTCCAGTTTAGTGGAGAAGGACAGAGGAGAACTGAACCAGCACATACGAGGAACAGACCACGTTCAAACGGCCATCTGTGTTCATTTAACATGAACTAAAGAAAATGGTGTTATTATCAGCGGCCGAACACGAAACCTGCTGAGATCCGCTCTCACACCTCGACTCCAACCTAAGGCAGCATTAGCCGAGCTACCTGATCCGAACTAAACAGGTACCGTGTTTACGGGTTTCTTCTTTCTTTTATAAAGATTCTGTTTATTACATTTGAAATGGATTGTGCATATTTTATTAAAAGTGCCTGTCAGCTACTTTAGTTTACAGGAGGCACCCATTGTGACAGTGGCAGATGGAACCAGACGCTCGCAGCAGGCTTGAGAACAATACTTTAATAGCAAAAGGGCACACCAAACTCACAGAAGATAAACACAAGCAGAAGGTCGAAAACCAGAGAATCAGTACAGGACAAAAAGGCAAGACTAGAACTGTGATCAGAAACAAAATATGGGTCATACACAGAAAATGGCACCAAGGAAACGTTCGGTATGCACATGAGTTATGATGCTTTGCAAATAACTAAAGCTAAAGCCCGGGCTTATATACTGAACCAACAAACAGGGTGGAGGAGGTTCTACTGGAAGCAGTGCTGGTTGTACAGTCTAACAGCAGCAGGAAGAAAGGACTTGTCATGGTGCTCCTTCACACACTTGGGGTGAAGCAGCCGGTCACTGAAGGAGCTGCCCAGTACTGCCAGAGTCTCTTGCATGAGGTGGGAGCTGTTCTCAGGCATGGATGCTAGTCTGCCTAACATCCTCCTGTCTCCCACCACCTGCACTGGGTTTAGGGGGCTTCCCAGGACAGATCTGGCCCTCTTAATGAGCCTGTGAACTCTCTTCCTGTCTGCAGTTGAGATGCTGCTGCCCCAGCAGACCACTCCAAAGAAGATGACTGATGCCACCATGGTGCCCCCTGCACTCCAAACGACCTCAGTCTCCTGAGTAGGTAGAGTCAATAGAGTCTGCTCTGGTCTTTCATATAAAGTGCACTAGTGTTTTCTGACCAGTCTATTGTTGAGGTGAAAACTCAGGTACTTCTAAGAGTCCACTCTCTCAATGTTCATTCCCTGGATGTTCACTGGTGGAGGGAGGTGACTGCATCTGCGGAAGTCCACCACCATCTCTTTGGTCTTCCCCGCATTGATCAGGAGGTGGTTCCTCAGACACCAGTCCACAAAGTCCTGGGTCAGTTCTCTGTACTCTCTGTCGTCCTCATCTGTAATGAGTCCGATGATTGCTGAGTCATCAGAGAACTTCTGTAGATGGCAGTTTGGTGAGCTGTACATGAAGTCTGCAGTGTACAGGGTGAAGAGGAACGGTGCCAGGACTGTTCCCTGCGGGGCCCCTGTGCTACTGACTACCATGTCAGACACACTGTCCCGTGCCTTCACATACTGTGGTCGGTTGGTGAGGTAGTCCAGAATGCAATTTGATAGGTGTTTTTTGACCTTGGTTTTTGCCTTGTCCTTTTGCCCTGTTGTTGATCTCCAGTTTTCGACCTTTTCTGTCTGGATTACGAATGTGTTTTTGGTTTGATCCCTTTGTTAATAAAACTCCTAAAACTAGTCATGTCTATGAGTGTCTGGTTCCGTCTGCCACTGTTACAGCAGCAGTTTGTACACAGTTAATCAGTTAGTGGTTTACTCTATTACTAATTACTAGGTATTTGATGACTAACTAATGTGTAAATAACTATTAGTTAATACATAAATAATTAGTATTTAGTTACTCATTAGCACACAATTATCAATTAATTTCCAACTCTTAATACAAAGTGTTACTGCTTAGCTACAGATTCACTATTTTTTCATTTATATATACATAATTTTTTATATTTTTTATAACTAGTTTTTATTATCATGAATAACTTGTAGCTTGAAAAGCTACTATTTTAAAGTAGCTTCCACAACATTGTTAAATATTCCTACTTATGAGCACTGTTATTGTAGTGTTATGAATATGTAGCGAAATGAATATACACAACTAAGAGTACATAAGTTATTTACTAATGGTCTACTTGAGTAATTACCTTGATTTCATTTTTTGTATACCCATATATCACAACTGGAAAATATTTCAATATTTTGTCCTGAAATTGATTACAGTAAGCTCTGTTAGCGCACTTCATTACACATCTTTATGTGTATGAGGCACAAGGTCGCACTAGGCTTAATTATTAATGTTTTTTAACAAAAGATACCAATTTTCCACCTTGAATCTATAATTATTATTTATCAGTGTTATCAGGGTATTCTGATTGTCATTCAAATTGCAGACTGAAAACTTTTCACATAAGAGGGCTAGTAGTGGTCAAATCGCTTTTTTGTGCATCAATGAAAAACACACTTCTTGAAAAAGACACTCACACCAGCAGAATCTCACTAATGCAATCACAGATTGTGTGTTTATGAAGTAAAATGCCCTAAACCAATCTAAACATACCAGAGGTACCTCACTGGCAAGCTTAGTTCTTTGCAAAATGGAAAGCAGTGTGTAGCTGAGAGGAAAAGTGTGCTCAAAATGAGTCATTCTGTCACATGTACTCACATCAGCAGTCTGACATACAGCTAGCTAACTTTTTCCCTCAGAAGTATCAAAGTCTCCGAAAAAGGTTTTATGTGAGTGAGCTGATTATGGTACAGTCATATTTGATGGATGGGCATAGCTAGGTATGTGAATATAAACAGTCTATGACATAAACCCATTTAAGGTAAAAGTAATAGGACACTGGATGTTTTAGACAGTCTAGGTCACATCATGAAAAAGGTAGTTTTTCATATTTAACTTGCAACAATGGTTGTTTTGATAAGCATTTGACATTTTGTTTGCAGTCTCTGCATTGCTTAAAAGTTTGTTTGGATTCCTTTATGTAATGTCGCTAGTTAACAGTGCACACTTAAAAAAGATGGTTCTATATAGAGCCATCAACACTCATAACCATTTCATGCTTAAATGGTTCTATGCATGGTGAAAAAGAATTCTTCTTTTATTATAATGTCAAGCTTGTAACAATAGAAGAACCCTTTTTGGTGCTATATAGAACCATGTACAAAACATTTTCAATCAATTATCCAAAAGTCCTGTTGTCGGCAACAACCATAATTGAAGTGTTTTTGTTCTTTCAGCTTTTTTAAAAAAAAAGTAAGAAAAAATAAAATAAATAAATAAACAAAACCCTCTAGGGTATCTACCCCGGGTTTTTTCAATATCTCATCAGTTCAGCTCCTGCTGTTAAAGTGTTCACAGGTCTTCTTTCAATTGGTGTTCACTGTATGTGCAGCTTACCTGTTTTTCCCAGAATAGTACCGAAGTCTATTTGTAGATTGTGTTTGCAGAATCTATCCAGCTCAGCCTGAAGCTCCAGTAGTACAGGACTGTCATTCCATTTATCAGCCAGTATCTTTCCAAAGTCACTGAAGCCTACAACTTTCCCCACAGTGCTGTTAAACTGTAGGTGTGGAGCCTTATTAAAATAATCGGTATACACAAATTCCACATCAGACAGATCAGAAGAACTGGTGGTGCATTCAGCTATTGAGGACATGTAATATCCAGCAATGACATCTGGTAGTGAAATAAAATAATATTCTTTTTTAAGTAAAGAAAACAAATCATCACACTAACAATAAACCGTGGTAGGTACCGTAAGACAAATACACTGTTAAATGATGAAATCACGTAATTATCTTAAATAATGCATTAGGGGTAAAATTTAATCTTTTACTCAAACTATTATAAAAAACAAAGTGATTCAGTAGTGTGAGTCTCTCACTTACTCACATATGTATCTCATTCAAATAGGATTCATAAAATTATAAGAAATGTAAACATACCTGTCCTTATAGACAGAGTCAGTAGGAGCAGCAGCTGCAGACTCAGAAGCATTTTGTCTCTATGCCCAACAACAACTGAGAGAGTTTAAGAGAGTGACTTCGGTGTAATGACAGATAAGAACCTGCTAAACTGCTTCATCACATGTTACTAGGCAGGCTTATGAATGCACTTCAGATGGATTAAAAGTTACAGTGCCTATAAAAAGTATTCACTCCCTTGGAAGTTTTGATGTTTTATTATCATAGAACATCAAATCCCAGTGGATTTAAAGACACTTTATGTCGAAGTGAAAACAGATCTCAGCAAAATTATTTAAATTGATTAAAAAAATATAACACAAAGTATCTGATTACTTAAGTAGACTGTAAAAATTGCTGTAAATTAACAGCCAGTTTTCAATGGTATTATCCTGTTATACACAAAAAACAGCTCTTCACTGTAAAATGAATTGCAGCTGTAAATTCATAGCCATTTTTACGGTATTATCACATTACCGTTAAAAACAGCTATTTCTTAGAAAACTAATGCATTACAGGAGTTGTGTGATGTGAAGCTAGTGTAGCAGTAGCTTATGGCAATTCTTGTGACTTATATCCACCTTCATGTTTTACATTATAGCATGGCATTTCATTTTGCTTGTGAGGAAATACAAAACTCATCTGTAACATTTCAGCTGTCTGTTTCCCTAAGTTTGCCTTTCCCTCCTGTGCTACTGGGCAAAGTAAGTTTCTTTTACACCGATCAGGCATAACATTATGACCGCCTCCTTGTTTCTACGCTCACTGTCCATTTTATCAGCTCCACTTACTATATAGGTGCACTGTAGTTCTAAAGTTACAGACTGTAGTCCATCTGTTTCTCTGATACTTTGTTAGACCCCTTTTACCCTGTTCTTCAGTGGTCAGGACCCCCATGGACCCTCAAGAGCAGGTACTATTTGAGTGGTGGATCATTCTCAGCACTGCAGTAACACCAATGTGGTGGTGGTGTGTTAGTGTGTGTTGTGCTGGTACGAGTGGATCAGACACAGCAGTGCTGCTGGAGGTTTTAAACACCTCAGTGTCGCTGCTGGACTGAGAGTAGTCCACCAACCAAAAATATCCAGCCAACAGCGTCCTGTGGGCAGCGTCCTGTGACCACTGATGAAGGACTAGAGGATGACCAACACAAACTGTGCAGCAGCAGATGAGCTATCGTCTCTGACTTTACATCTACAAGGTGGACTGACAAGGTAGGAGTGTCTAATAGAGTGGACAGTGAGTGGACACAGTGTTTAAAAACTCCAGCAGCACTGCTGTGTCTGATGCTGTTGTTATTCTGCCTAACCTAAACTAAACTAAACACTTGAATTGATATGTTCTAGTTGTTTGCCACTGCAGCTGACGTGAAGAGGATGCTAACCCTACTGGCGGCTCCTCGGCTGCTGCTGCTTTCTATGTTTATAAAGATTCTGCATAAGCCAACAGCAAATTTGTATTTCAGCAAAATGGCACTATCCTTGCTGCAAGTGGCTAACACTTCCTTTGTTTTTTTTTCAGGTGAGAAAACAAGCTGTCCAGCTTCTGGTGAATCAGTGGCATAATCTGCACCATGAACAGAAAAGAACACTCCAAGCAACTCTATGACAAGGTAATTGAAAAGGTGGGGGATGGATACAAGAACATTCCCAATCACTGAATATTCCTTGAAGTACAATTAAATCTATCACTGACGAATGGAAAGAGCACAGCTGTAAGTGAGTGACCATGCAAGAGGGAGACTAGTGAGGGAGGCAACCAAGAGTCTGAACGTCTATAATCTGATGAGACTTCACATATCATCATAAGCACACCATCCCACCATGAAGCATTGCTTTACTCTTCATTAAAGAGCTGTGGGGCAAACGTGCAGGCCACATCATGCACCTCACACCAGTACGGAACCACCACCAGCCTGCACAGTGCCTTGTTGACTACTGGGGTTCATGACTTCATGGGGTCCGTGCCACAAACAAATCTTACCATCAGCCCGAAACAATTGGTACTGTGACTTGTTGGACCACATGTTGCGAGTCCTCTAACCCTAACCCTAGAGTGCAGTTAGCAACCTCACGTGAGCCATGTGAGGCGCTGCGTCTGGTATCATGGTGTTAACAGAGGCGCTCTGGTGGGTCTTCTGCTCCCATGTCCAATGGGAGCTAAAGAAGGCTGCACTGACCTGTGGAATATGTGTGTGGGGCCTCCTGCTTTGAATGTGGATGTGATTTCTGAGTCGCTTGTCTGTTTGCACAAACAATTCTAACCAGACGTCGCCGGTCATGATCATTAAGCACCCATGGATGGCCACAGCGCTGTCCACTGTTGGTGGTAATGCCTTCTATAATGTATTCATGACAAGTTGAGTTCAAATTGAGTTTCAGTTTTCCACCATATCTTTTAATGACACTGGGCCAGCACTGGCTCAATTCTGGTAAACTTAAATAAACTGAAGATTCTGCTAAATTTAAATAATCACCATTAAGTGGTAAACAAAATTTTTTTTCCGCTTCCAATTACTTTTTGTATGTCTAAACCTCTCTATGTTTTAATTATGCAGCCCAATCATAAGCATGTATTTGCTTAGATGTAACATTAACATTAATTGAGAAATAACAGAGGATAGCAGAGGATTTAAAAATCCTTACAAGAAAACCAGCTTGTTCTTCTCAATTATTTACTCAATCATTTGAGGCAAAAAGAACAATACAACTCACAGCATCATAGCCATTTTACTTTTCTAAGTAGAGATCAGGCAACAAGACCAATCCCTAATGGAGACAGCACAACACAGGTAAACACAGCTGAACAATCAACCGTCTGGCAGGGTTTTAAGAAAAAAAATGTTCCTTATCATTTATTAAGCCACTATGTATTGTTTCATGTCTTGTAAAGTTAACAATTTTTAAAGCTCCCCTGTGTTCACCTGTATGCGTGCATGAATTGATTACATTAGAAATCATTTCAAAACAGTTTCTTTAATTTTATAAACAAAATATACAGAACTTGTGCACAACTTGGAACAGCAACTGTACTTTTATAAAAGATGGTTCTTCAAGGGTTCTTTAGTAAAGAAAATGGTTCTATGTAGAACCATGGACACTCAAAGTTTCTTTGTATGGTGAAATGTTTCTTCAGATTGATGGAGAATGTGTCATATATGGTTCTGTATAGAACCTTGTAGGAAATGGTTCTATATTGCACTTTTTTGAAAAGTGTTCTATATAGCTATATAGCAAAAAGGGTTCTTTTATTGTTATAATGCCAAGCTTGTAACAATAGAACCCTCTTTGGTGCTCTATAGAATCTTTGGTAACACTTTCTATGAATGTTGCATTTGTCAGCATCTATAAACACATTTATAACATGTTATAATGTATTCATAAGGCATGATAAACATGGTTATAAATACTTATGAAAAAGAATTACACTGAATTACACTTTATAGCCATGTTTATTATACATTATGAATTGTTAATATAATGCATTATAAATAGTGTTAATAACATGTTATAATGTCAGTGCCAAAGAAGTCAGTCCCAGCATGGAGACTGCAAAGTAAAGACAAATACCAAGCTAACGGTGGTGTACATTACCTTTCCCACAATGGGTAAAACACTGATGGCAGCTCTAGTTTAAACTCTGACATTTGAAGCCTGTAATGTGCTTTACTGTGAATGTTTTAGTGTTTCAGTAAATCCTTCAGTAAATACTTCAACTTGAAGCCTCACTCTTAACCCTGGAGGAGGCTTTAGTACAGTACGCTTCACTTTACTTAGAGCGGACAAATACAACTTATGAGCTCTTATAATTTGTTATGATCAGTACTTATAATGTATTATGTTAACAATTCATAATGCATAATAAACATGGCTATAATGTATAATGCACTTTTATAAACATTTATAGCTATGTTTATAATGTCTTATGAATGCATTATAACATGTTATGAAAGTGTTTATAGATGCTTACAAAGATGACATTCATAGAAAGTGTTACCAAATCTTTTTCAAAAGGGTTCTATATAGAACAACATACAACACATTCTCCATCAATCATCAGTGGCTCCAGACTTGAAGAGTTAACTCTAATATTATTCATCAAAACAATAGAACTACAAAAAACTTCAAGTATGTTTAAGTTAAAATCAAAAAAAGATGGTGCAGCAGTCACTTTCTGGTGCCTAAAGCTGCACCATTTAAGGTGGAACAGGAAAATTCAAACAAGAAGCTGGCACATAAGAAGCTGACTTAAGCTTCATGTAAGAAGGTGCTAATGTTAATCTACAACCCTATTTCCAAAAAAAGTTCTGACGCTGTACAAAATGTAATAAAAACAAAATGCAAAGATGTGCAAATAATTTAAATCCTATATTTCATTGAAAATAGAAGAAAGACAACAAATCAAATGTTGAAACTTTTGAAGTGTTATTGTGTAATGCTAAAAAACAGGTCAGTAACATGATTTGGTATAAAAGAGCATCTCAGAGAGGCGGAGTCTTTCAGAAATAAAGATGGGGAGGAGTCACCACTCTGTGAAAGACTGCACAGTCAAATAGTGCAACAATTCAAGAATAACGTTTCTCAACATAAACTAGCAAAGATACAAGATAAAACTCTAAATCACAAAGAAGAAACCAAATATAAACAGGATCGAGGAATGTTGCCACCTTCTCTGGGCCCAAGCTCATTTAAAATGGACTGAGGTGAAATGGAAAAGTGTCCTGTGGTCTGACAAATCAAATTTCCTCTTAAGTTCCTCTTTACTTCCATATATGTATAACTTACAAACAGAAACTGTAAGTTGGGAGTGTTTGGCTATCTTCTTATATATTAAATTCAAATTAGTTCATATTTACTTTGGTTTTAACTGCTAGCACACCACATTGTAAATTATATGTTATTTGTTCTATGTTCAGTAAAATTAGCATCCATTGAAAAAAGGCATTTTTTTTGTATTTTAACAGAGTTTTTTTTATTTGTTTCTATCAATTATTTATTTAACTGGCAAATGCCTTGTTAAACTGTGTCCTATATTTCAGCACAAAGTTGTTGTGAAATAGATCTGAAAAAACAAAGGTAATTTGATGGCTAAATAAAGAATGGATAGTACAATTAAAATCACAAATGCAGTTAATTGAAGGTGAAAGCACACCCTAGAAAAATACAGTGTAAAGTTTGCTGTAATATTAACAGTCAGATTCTCAGTTGCATTTTTTTCCTTTGACGAGAAAGACAATTCCGACAATGACTCCGATCAGTCCTACACCCAGACCCACTCCACAGAACGCAATGGGACCCACATTGGGCAGAGCCTCCTGAACATCTGTAGAAACACACACAAAAAAAGCCTGTATATTATTACAACCCCTTTTTCTAAAAAGGTTGGGACGCTGTGCAAAATGTAAATAAAAACAAAATGCCATCATGTGCAAATCATTTAAACCCTATATTTCATTAAAATAGTATAAAGACAACATATCAAATGTTGAAACTGAGAAATTTTATTGTTTACTGAAAAGTATTTGCCCATTTTGAATTTGATGCCAACAACATGTTCCAAAAAAGTTGGGACGGAGGCAACAAAAGGCTGGTAAAGTTTGTGTAATGCTAAAAAAAGCACCTGGTGATTAATTGGCAACAGGTCAGTAACATGATTGGGTGTAAAAAAAACTCTTTCAGAGTCTTTCAGAAGTATATATGAGGAGGAGTCATCACTCTGTGAAAGACTGCACGATCAAATAGTACAACAATTCAAGAATAACGTTTGTCAACATAAAATAACAAAGAACTTTTTTGCACATTATTTTTCTGTAGGAGAGAGTGCATGAAAATTCCTTAGATGCATAAGTATGAAGAGAGACAAAAACTTTTTTTTTCTTCATTTAAGTGCTGCACAAACTGTGTCACACATGCAAATTTCGTATATAACACATGGGGAAAAATGCATTTATTGTACCTGAACTTGTGCAAAAAAGCTTAATACAATCTTGCTGAATGGACATGGTAATAAACACTTTTCATTGTTGCACTCATGGAGCAATTAATGAAAACTACAGGACTGCTTGAAAGTTTGTAAACCCATTTTTAGGATTTTTTATATTCTGCAGAAATATGACCTAAAAAATAATCATACTTTCACACCAGTCCTAAAAGTAGATAAACCCCCTGTTCCGCAGCAAGGCCGCTCCACTCCACCTCACGTTCAATCCAGGTGGATGAGCTGAAGCGCAGGGGGCAGTGACGGGGAGGCGGAGCACTAGCCTTGCTTCCCGCATCCGTGCCTCTTGTTGCCATCATCATCGTACCCTCTCTTGCGTCATCTTCCTCCTCCCGCCATCACTCGCGGCCCTTTGGCGGAGCTCGGGCTTTGCATGACGATGGCATTAATTGGCAACAAGTGGCACAAATGGCCAAGTCAAAGTCCTGACCTTGTTCCTTTAGAAATGTTCTGTCCTGAAGCAGCAGTTCAAGGGAGGAAACCCACCACCATCCCAGAGTTGAAGTTGTTTTGTATGGAGGAATGGGCTAAAATTCCTCAGAGCCAATGTGCAGGACTAATCAACAGTTACCGGAAGCATTTAGTTGGAGTTTCTTCACACATACTGAAGCAAAGGTTCACATACTTTGGCCACTCACAGATATATAATATTGAATTTTCTTCAATAAATAAATGATCAAGCATAACATTTTGGTCTCATTTGTTTATTTGGGTTCCCTTTATCTGCTTTAAGGACTTGAGTGAAAAGGTTTTAGGTCGTATTTATGCAGAAATGTAGAAAATTCTAAAGCGTTCACAAACTTTCATGCACCAATGTAATAATAGCAACAGGTTGATAAGCAGGTATAAATCTCACCCCATGTTTTGGTCAGATGTCTGTCCAGGGACGCATGCTCCACAGTGCAGGTGTAGACGTCTCCCTTTTCTGGTATGAAGCTCAGACGAGAGATCAGGTTGAAGGTTCCATCACTGAGTGGATAAAATCTACTAAAACTAACTCCACCAGTCACGTTTATACTGTTCTTGGTCCACCACACTCCAATGCGTGGTGGGTAGAATCCAGTAATGAAACAGACGAGGGTGTTATTGGAGCCCAGCTCCACATCGTCCTTGGAGTAGAGTGAGCTTTGAGGGGCATCTAGAGAAAAAAGGCATTTGAGCTTACTCATGACATCATATTTAGCTTTCTAAAAGCAATTGGAAAACTAATAAATAAATATGTACATTAAGTAAATGGAGAACAGTACCGTGCAAAAGTCAGTGACCACCCTTTCAGTTATGTCATTTTGACAACTTTAAAGCAAGCACCCACACACACACACACACACACACACACACACACACACACACCCTCAACCTTTTTTGGATATTCCATTCTTAATTTAGTTTTAGTGCTGGGCCTGCCATGTATGAGAATATTTGATGCCTGAGATATCACCCTCTTTAGTGGTAATATCCATGACCTTTCCCCACCAAATCAATCTGACGGACCTCCTGCTAGGCCACCCCCGGCCACCGAAGGCAGAAAGAGAACTTGACTAGGCTGATTAGAGCTGACTTTTGTCAGCTTTTCACCATGCTATTTAAGAAGAGCTCACACGCAGCTCTACGCTAAGTCTTGAGTTCATGCTGCTACATGCAAGTGCTCTTGACCAAGCTGGTATCTGGTATTGTTCTCCCTGGGTATTTGTTTATATTGTTTGATTTTAAAGATCACAGCGCAAGTATTTTTTTTTTTAATTGCTGTTCTGGCATTTCGTTTGTTTGGCCTTCGCTTTCTCCCTTTGCCGTGGTAATGTAGCAGCAATGCACTCACCCCTGTATCACGAGGTTGCAAGTTTGAACAAATAAAAATACAAGTGTTTTGATAAAGTGTTGTTTTTATTGTATCCGCTCAAACTTGGTCTTAAAGCAACCAGTCAATCTCAATGTCACTGATTATTTTTTTAAAAATCGCGTTTTAATTGTGATATAGCAGCAAGATATGAATCATTTAGTTTGGCCTGGCTAATTCTGACGCAAGGGGCTGTAAATCCATTAGCGATGCTCTGATTGTGACCAAATTTGGTACCTACATACACAATAATTAGCTGAGGAAGCCTCTAAAATTTGGCTTGAATCGGCCTCAGCTGGCTCTGATGATACTAAATGTACTGCTAACAACCTAAAATATCATTATTTCTTTCTAAAATAAGGTAAATTGATTTCAATCCATTTTTTTAATTATTTTATCCAGTCACTAGAGGGAACAGTAATTGGTGTACTTCAAAACATAGAGGCAGTCATGCATCTTGCTGTATATATTTTGTGGAAAAACAAATTGGTCCAAGTCATATAGTGCAACGAGTAACAAAAAGTCACAGTTGTCCTGTGATTGACAAAAGTTGGAAATTTTACTTGCTACTAACTCTTACTACTCCTAGAGTTTTTTTTTTTTTTTTTAATTAAATTACCTTATATCTTAAAACAATCTGTGGAGTCTGAAGATAAATAATTATTAAAAACATCATGGCCTTTGAGCATAGTCTGGCTGTACGATTTGAACAAATTGGTGTGACCTGACTTATTCTGATTTAAAGGACTACAAATACATTTGTGATTGTCTTATTATAACCGTCCTCTGGGTGCCCCAGTTTCTTCCCACAGTCCAAAGACAGGCAGTCAGTCTAATTGGAGATGCCAAATTGCCCCTAGGTGTGAACGTGTATGTGAATGTATATGTCTGTGTGTCTGCCCTGTGATGGACTTATGACCTGTCCTGGGTGTTTCCTACCTTTCGCCCAGGAAAGGATAATCAGCTTAGATAATGTGTTTGAATAGTTTTATTTATATTACTCAATCACAATAAATAAAATTTGGCAATTATTTTCTAAAATGGTGCTTGGTTTCTTATTGCTCCCTACCATTAAATTGTCTCAAAAAAAGCAATGCTGCCATGGGCCACTTCTGGCTCACCATGAAAACAACTCCCTTCAAAAAGAAGGTGCTTGACTTGAATCCCACTTGAACTGTTCTTGTCAAAGAACATCTCAATATTCTAATCTCAATATTCTAATTATATATATATATATATATATATATATATATATATATATATATATATATATATATATATATATATATATAATTAGAATATATATAATATATAATAAATAGAAACATAGAGGCTTGTTTTGATTTGTTATGCCAGGGCTTAATGACACTACTTATGCATTGATGCTAACTTACACTTGTCTTGCTTGTCTTCTAAAATAACAAGCATAACCACAGTAAGACATTTGATGACTTTGCTGTATATTAAATTTCCATGTGATGCAGAAACAAATTGATACACATGAAAAATAAACAACTGTGTAGAGTCCCATCTGCAGATGCCTCTCCACATTTCTGTCACTTTGGGTCTTGAGTCTTTCTGAGTCATACAGATCAAGTCCAAGTCAAAATGTGAGTCACTGAAGTTCTGCTGTGTGTAGCTAGCGCTTATAAACTACTAGAATCCCATAGGGACGCTAGCAGAAATGAACAATATCATTTTTCAATCCCATGATGCTTTGCTCTTGCTTAGCTAGGCTGTACTTAGTTCTTAAAACAGTATATAAAGGTTTTTCATTGTGTTTTTAAGTATCTGATGGTAATGTTTTACAGGTTATGTGAACTATGAAATATGTGAATTACTGGAGCAGTTTGGGTAGGTACTGTGTTTGGGAGTGTAAGCTACCATCATCCAAGTTTGGGTCCTGATTCATAACTTCCGGGGAGATAGCATACCATACCATAGCACCCACGTCCACACTAGACGTTTAAAAAGCATATTTCCTCCCTCTGGTAATAAGTGTGATTGTTTGTTCTGTTGTCATCTGACTGCTGAGTCAAAATAAAGCTACGTTATGGGCACACATGGGTAAATTGCACAAATGTACTAAATGCTGCATCAAATCTGTGAGGTTCCACATCTGGATCCAGCATGCACTTAATGACAGGAAATTACAATTAAAAAGGGTGATATTTGACTTTTAGATAGTACTGTAAATAGAAAGGCTAACCACCTGATCCTTACATAACAGCAGGTCCTAATAAACTGAACTGTTTATATTGTTTATGTTTATGTTGCGACAGAACATTGTACTTAACTGTATCTTAGGTTCTATTATAAACCTATACATTTACCTATATCATCCTAATACAAGTAATACATCAAGTCCTTTTGAAATGTGATACCGTATATAAATTCATTTTACACTTGTACAAACCAAACCATGGATGTAATAACTAACTTTGGAAGGAAAAAAAAAAACAAAACAAAAACAAACAAACAAAAAAAACGGTCTGATACTGAAATAGTGTTATTAAATTAACTCGGCTCTTCCCCAAGAACTGTCTTTATACAAATATCAGAATATGGCTTTGATACATGTTTTATTAGTTTTGCTGGACGGTTTCCACCATATCATCCTACTTCTACATTACATTTACATGTAAATGTGAGTGCATTGCAGTAATAATAATAACTTACCCGTTAGTTCTGCCGGGTTATTGTTAGCTGCTATAGTTTTAGCCAAGTTTTGTTTGCATATTTCTACATTAATAACACTGTTCTCATAGGCTCCTTCTTCAAAGGAGGATGGATCGGCAAACTGTGGTATTGTCAGCACTCCTATGCCCTGCTCGAAGTCAGCGTACCACAGTTCTTCTCCATCAAGTCCATACAAACTCTGCTGATCTGTATCAGAGCACAGGTCTACAGCAATGTGTTTGTGCACAGCTGTGGAAGAAAGAAAAAGAAAAGTATGTCAGTGTGCAAACTCCAACATGCTTTTTTATTGGTTTAACCCTTTGAAGATGGAGCGACACTCTTACGGTTAATCTGATAAAGCAATAATTAGAAATAAAAACTTATAACCTTCAAGTCTCTTGAATTTTGTAAACTATATGCGTTTTGTGAATTATGCATTTAGTCTATGATTTAACAACAAAACCATACCACATATCAATTATTTCTCACCTGTAGCTCATTTAAACAAGTCTTTGTTTGTGGAAATTGAGTGGAAAGTGCAGAATCTAAAATATCAATACCATTCTTTCCACTTTGTGTGGAAAGAAAAAAACTTAATTTATATTATTATTATTATTATTATTATTAGTTTTTATCATTATCATTTTTACAGCAAATATAACAGAAATAGCAATTTTAAAATACATTTAAATAGACTTAATTTTTTTCATTTGATATTTGGTAGTCACCTGAAAAAAAAACAGGTTGACTTTTTTCTCTGTGACTGTGTATGTTGTGCAAGTCAAAGTGTTATGATGTTTTAATTATTGTTACTATGGAAGTATTGAAGGGTAAGATGAAAAAAGTGTTTCTATGTCCACTTCTAGTTTCACTTTATTTATTTTTTCTGCCTGTAAAACAAACCAAAAACAACTGAGCAAACTTTATGAAAAAAAAAAAAAGTACTGGTTAATACTTAGGTTAAAACTTGTTATACCAGCTTCAACCAGCAGGTGGTTGTTTTCCCTAACTCTTTTTGAACTAGGTGAAAAAAAATTACTTAGCATTATCATCATCATTTTTAGTTACCTCCTCAGTTTTTTTTTATAGTTTTACAATGAGACAAAGATTAAAGAAATAGACATATTGAGTCTTTGAGTATCGTATTATTATGTACGTTATTATTGACATTCACATATATCATATTTAAAATAATATATTTACATAATTTCTTATTAATTTTATGGTGTGATGAACTACACATTGCTTATTACAAGAAATTGGTAACATTTTATAATAACAGGCTCTTGTGAATAGCAACTTAGTCATTATCTAATAGTTTGTTGATGACAGTTAAAAATAGTATGATTGATATTTAATTATTTTGTTTTTTTTGTTTTAAATAAATAAAGCATTTTGATACACACGATACAGTGGCTGATTTGCATTGCATGTTCTTGCTGTTTGCTGTATTAGCACACCAGTGTCTCTTTAACGCTGTTATATTTTCACATCTGTTGTAGTCAAGAGCCAATCAAAATCCACATGTATATGAGGTCATACAAAAGACTTAATCCAGGTGAAGCTCTGATTGGCTGCCAAAATGGACAAGATGAAAAAAAAAAAAACGAGAACAAAGGAAACAAAAGTTCTCAGAAACAGAGCTACAAATTTTAAAGGTAGAAATGCTGACAAATAATAGCTAATTGTTTGGTAAATATGCAGGAAAAAATAAACAACAGGAAAAGATATAGGAGACAGTTGTGGAACATATAAGCATGGTAGCAAATGTAACACAAACTGCTGTCGACTGTCAAATGCGGGCCAGAAGAAAAAAGAAAAGTAAAAGCGTTCAGATATTAGCAGGAGTCCAAGTGCACAAGCATGAAAACCTACTTAACTTTTAATCAAGAAACAAAGTTTCTTTATCAGAAAATTTTGTATAAAATGTATAAAAAATTTAACATTTTAAAATTCAACTTGTATAAATGATATCTAATGATTTAATTTCTCATTAGTAATAATTGAAGCCTTTTTTCCAACTTATTATAATTGCAGTAGAATTTTTTACTAACATGAACTAAAACATGCATTAAAGTTTAGCATGGGGTATTTTTTCATACCCAATTAAAAATTAAATTGACATACTGGAATTCTAATTAATATTGCCTATTGAATTCAATTTACACATGTGATTAAATTAATTAAATGTCAAGTAGTAAATATTTCATTCTTGTTCTCAGGAGTTCAGCTTGCACATGATAATATAAACTCTTCTAGTAAATATTAAAGCCTGACTATTTAAATAAAAAATTCTGGTTTGACTAGTAAGAAAAAAACAGTAAAATTTTCATTTTCAAGTGTGTAAATTGAATTCTTCTGTAAAATTCTGTAAATTGCGATTCAGAGCTAAAATTTCTTGCAGCAAAAATCAATTCAAACATGTAATTAAAATCTCAACATGTCAAATTCTTTACTTATTTGTATCATGAGCTAAACCTGCTTTTAAACACAGTAGGAGATTCACTGAACACTGGATTCGATGCAGGAATAAGAGGCTGTTTTAAGTATAATACTAGTTAAAAGTGTGAAAGGAATCTGTTAATAATGTCTTCCTCTGAAATCCTCCTCGTGTTCTCATACAAAAGCACTTTGAAGGTTTGTCATGATTCACATTTCGTCCAAACTGACCAAAATGTGTCTTCTAAATATATGGGTTAATCAGCTGACCGGGTGAACGTACAGAACTTACTGATTACTTGCATGCATGAGCAAACATGTTTGGAAACATTGTAGAAAATATCACTTAATCCACACCGGCTTCTTAGTAGGAACAATTACTGGTGTGTGTGTTTGAGGTGTTATGTTTTGTGGGATTGTGTTGTGTTATGAATCGCTGTCAGCACATGTGAATGAGGAGAAGCAGCCACACCTGTCATCACGCATGTGTTGAAAACGTGCTGGTAATTCTTTTTTATGTTACTGCCACACTATTTGCTCTTAACATCAAGCTAAATCTGGTGCTGCATTTTATGAATTTGGACCAGTGTGGAAGCAGCATCTGAAGCCAAACACACAGAAAGCTCAGATTTGTATGAACCAGATCTGGTTATTACACGCTAAATGCTGCTGACATCGTTATCCCTCTCTTTCATCTCTGTCTCCTTGCTCTAATCATAATCACCAGAAAAACTCATCATCTTCTCACCTTGAACACAATTACAGTAATAATACAATAATTAGTTCACTACTTAATACTGTAATATTCACTCTTACTCACTTTTAGCCTCTGTGGAGAGAAGAACTGCACAGATTAAAGTCAAACACAGCTTCATCTTGATCAGCGTAGAGGAAACAAACTCATACATGAGTGAGAGCCGACTGACTACAGTCTGTCTGATTATCTCACTTTACCTAAGATATCTCAGGTAAATCATCCAATAGGATCATTACTTCCCTGACACTGCAGTATCTGGGTAAGTCAAGCTTTCAGATCCTTGTGTCTCTTGATGTTTTAGCAGAGCGGCAGTGCTAGAGTGACAGTACAATACATTCCTGTACAACTTGTTCTTTAGGATTCTTGAGCATTAGTCTAGTATTATGATCTATGAAACACTGTGTGCTATTTCTCAGCTTGATTTCTAAATTGTAGTAAATATAAATATTATCACGTCATGATAATATGAGTCATTGCAATATCATATGTTCTAAACGCTGAAAATATATTACAGATGGGAAAGCAGGCCTTTCCCATAGAGATATGGAGTTAAATTGGAATCATATATCGAAATATGTTGCTGATTCCTCTAGCAATCCAAACCATCAGTTCCTACTTTTTGAAATGTGTCACAGAATTCATGTAACTCCATGAAAAAGGCATCTGATGGGCCTGGCCTCCCATCCCTACTGTACATTCTATAAAGCACATTTGTGCACATGTTCTGGGATTGTCCAGAGGCGTTGTTTTTTTTTAGAACAAGGTAATTAAAATGATCTCTTCATTAACTTCCCAATAAGCCCATATCTGCTTCTTTTGCTTGACAACTCCACTTTTCCTGTTGCAAAGAGACTACATAAGCTGTAGTTGGCAGGCCTGACCGCTGTCAAAAATGAAATGCCCAATGCTCACACTCTTAAAATTGCACACTGGTTGCAATCCGTTTTACATATCCTTTATTAAGAATTATCTTCAGCTAGAGTTAAAAGAGCAAATTCAGCTACAATAAGAATATAGTCAAATGGAATTCAGGATGTGAAGGCTTTACTTTTTTATCATGAGGTTTTATATAAATAAATAAGTATAAATTTGTTCTCTCTGCATGCTTTATCCATCTTCATCAGCTCAAGCCCTCGATTAGCTGCCACTGATTTCTAGGTGACTATCACCTGGGAAATAACACCCAGTGTAACTGGCCCCACTTTTGTTTCAAATAGAACTAAGCAGAAATCTGATGAGGTTTTACATAAGTCCAAAATAGAATTGGCACTTATATGATAGAGTTTAGGATATTTGTCTGACAAAGCCTCTTAATTAACAGTAAAAGTGTATTTTCTCAATCATGGTTAAAATCTGTAAAATAATAATAATTCCATTCAGCTTTTAACAAATTACAGTGCTTTGCAAAACAACAAATTGATTTTATTTACAACCCTTTCCAAAAAAGTTGAGATGCTTATTTAGACCCTATATAAACCCTATATGTATTTGAAAATAGTACATAGACAACATATCAGATGTTAAAATTGAGACATTTTATAGTTTTTTTGAAAAAAATTTGCCCATTTTGAATTTGATGCCAACAACATTTTCCAAAAAAGTTGGGACGGGGGCAACAAAAGGCTGGTAAAGTTGTGTAATGCTAAAAAACAACTGGTGTTTAATTGGCAACAGGTCAGTAACATGATTGGGTATAAAAGAGCATCTCAGAGAGTCTGAGTCTTTCAGAAGTAAAGATGAGGAGGGGTTCACCACTCTGTGAAAGACACAATGATATATTACATTTTAATTAATAATATACTATTATTTGATTTTTTTTTTTTAGTTTAAATAATCAGTGAATAATAATAGAAAAATATGTTCCAACTAGAGCTCCATGAAGCTGTTGCTTTTGTTAGTTTGCTGCTTGTTGATTTATCCATAGTTGCACTGTGCAGTGTAGTCTGCTGAATTACTGCTATTGCTGGCATTAGCAGTATTTTTTGCTTGTAAATTAAATTACAGTGTTAAATTGCCATTGTAAAGCCTGGAAATACTTATCAATGTAACTTGACATTGAAACAAGAAATCACATTTCACATTTCACATTTCTTTGCAATTGGTTGTGACGTAAGCAAAGTCATTCAGAGCGGTTTGATGTGAAATGGTTTATTGTAGAGACTGAGATTTCTTTACAGTGGTGGTGATAGGAACCAGGGGTCGCCATGACTACAACACAGATATAGACATTTCATTTACTATCCAAAACCACCAGTGAACCTACATATCTTCTGACCTTTATATGGAATGTATATATTTATATGGAATATATATGTTTTTGTTCTCAACAAAGAGAACGTTTATTTTTGGTTTGTTTAAGAGCTTTCATATTCATCATTAAAGGAGCATCCCTCATGTTTATCGGTGTGAGAATGTATGACAGGTGTCGAGAAGACACAACCGACAAAATCAGGGAGAAAATCATGCAGATTAAAGCATTAAACAGGAAAAATGATGTCTATAACACACTGAGATGTAGTTCAGCAATAACAATGTTGTCCAGTTAATAAGAAATGGTTCGTTTTGTGGGTTTGGTTTTCTAGATTCTCTAAAATTTTGATAAAACTTGTTCTGTAAATCTTATGATAAAAAAACACTGTAATGAAAGAAACATGAAGGTAGGCTGTCTAATGCTCATTAGGTTATAGGAGGGGTACTGTGAGTGTCAGTTATGCTTTTCATCACTGTTGTGCTAAAATCTTGTAGTTCCATTTTTTTCTTTTTATGTTTTTGCAAAATTTGAAAGCTCCAGTTTACCTTTTGCAGTGTGTTCAAATTTCATTACGCAAGGTTTTACTGTGTCAGCAACATTATAAAACTTATGAAGGCCTATGGTACTGCCATGATACTGCAATGGCAGAGTCATATATATTTTCTGTGATCATTTCATGCAGTCATGTTTTAGTCTATGTTCTAGTGCTGCAAAGGCCTACTTCATGGAGCCGAATCATTTAACACTTCACGTCTGACTTGCATGGAGTTATGGCACCCTCTGCTGCAAACAAAAGACATTTACACTTATAAATAATATTAATCCTCATATAATAGTTCAATATTCATTGTTTATAGATATAATCACTACATATGCATGTATAGATGCTTCAATTGTAATTATATATAATTTTCTTAGTGACATACAAATAATTAATACTTACTGAATTACTGAGATCATTAAAAACTGTTAATACGTTTACTCATAGCAAATAGTTAAATTATTCAACTTTTCAAGTGTTCACTTAGTTAATACTTTTAATTGGATTTTGTTTGCCTGAACTTGTATAATGTATTTATAGCTTAATGTCATTTCTGTTTTTGCAGTGCTTAACACTGAAAATGTTGGAGCTCATGGAAAACCTCCATAAAAACAGAACCCAAAATCCCTTTTTATTCAAACTCTATTGAATTTAGTGATTAGGACTTGTGGAGGCTACTGACATGTAACATTACAGGGGTGATTTTCAATTCACATACACAAGCGACAAATAACAACAACAACAACAAAAAAATATATATATGAAAATGTCATGTTTTGAAAAAAAAAACAGCCCCCAGTGATGTTTTTTGGGGGTAACTGGAAATAGACAGAGCTGGTAAGATTTTGTATTAAACAAGACCAACAGAAATGAAAGCCAAATTCTGTGAAAGCCACACAGGCTATGGAAAGTACATGGCAGATATAACTGCATCTGCAGTGTAGACAGGGCTGTAGCATGCCATTGTGCCAACCGTTGGACAAGAGCACACAAAAGACAACATTCCACTCATTCACACAAAGGAAATTCTGTAGCACTAATGTGGATATTGTACTTTGTGGAACAACATTTGTTCAAGAAACTTATGTATATATCTAAGCAACACTTAGATACACATGTTCTGCATAATCACTCCATTAACCTTCATATGCAATACTTTATATCAATGCTACATCTGTATATAGCTGTGAACCAGATAGAAGCTTTGAAAATTCTCTCACTATTCATCTGTACTGGGCAAGAGGGACCTGGGTTTGATTCCCGGCTAGGTGACCAGGGTCCTTTCTGTGTGGAATTTTTCTCCCCATGTCTACGTGGGTTTCCTCCCACAGTCCAAATATATGCAGTCAGGCCGACTGGACACGCTAAATCACCCCTAGGTGTGAGTGGGTGTGTGAAGGTCTGTCTGCCCTGTGATGGACTGGCCAGGGTGTCTCCCAATGACTGTTGGGATAGGCTCTAGCTCCCCCCTTTGATTCAGAAGGATAAGCAGCTAGGTAAAAGAGTGTGTGTATTTATCTGTACTGACCTTTCACTCTAAATACATATAACATGATCTCTCTGAAGCCTATTAGCACTAAAAAGAAGAGAAAGGTAAAACCTACAGATTTAGTTTAAACAAGTAAACATACAGTTTGGGTCCCCATAGAAAAGTATTAATCAACAGAATGGGATGCTGGACCAGTGGCACATGAGCCTATAGATCACCATGGCCAATGCCAAGCATGGGCTAGAGGAACATAAAGCCCCCCAGCATTGGGCTGTGGAGCAATGGAACTGTGCTCGCTCGCATGATGAAGCTCCATCCAGTATCTTTGGGATGAGTTGGAATGATCCAGAACTGACCATCCAACATCAGCACCTGACCTCATTAACGCTCTTGGGGTTGAATGCAATCAAATCCTCACAGCAACGGGCTTTGTACCCCTTGAGCTCCTCATGTGGCAATGCACTTGGCGATCTTAGGCTTGTGTGCAGCTGCTCTAGAGTGCCCAGTGTTTTTCTATGGAGATTGTAAAAGCTGTGTGTGCACTTTATTGCAGCTGAATTCACTAATAAGATTTTAATAAAATTTCTGGACATATAGCGTATCTCTAAACTGAGGTGGGTTTAGTCGTGGATGTATATCACTCATTTGTGGTCATTTGTGGTAAATCACATCACTGTGTGTCTGCAGGTTTACTTCATATCTGCTCTTTTTTCAGCAGTGGTTTTCCAGACCTGGGCAGCTGGAAGGGCTTGTGGGCCCATGGGGCCAAAACCATCGGACCGCCAGTGCTCCTGTGTCCTTGAGCACTTTTCCATCATACCCTGGTAATTCACGGTA